TAGGTAGAAAAAATAGTGTCCTGTTAAAAGGCAGTACCATCCATTATTTACAGTACATTAACATCTAGTAAAATGGACTCTTTAAATTATGTCTCGTAAAACACTGTTGGTGAAAATGCCTGTTAAACTTTTCTTGCAATTTTAGTTAAGAAACTATTATCTTAACTAAAATAGTCATCTTCTGCCTGTACTAAGGTCCAGTCCAGGATGTACCCTGCCCTGCGCCCATTGCTTGCTGGGATAGGCTCTGGCTCACTCCATGACCATGAATAGGATGAAGGGACTAGAAAGTGGATGGATGGAATTTCTGTCTGCACACTAAGTGCCTTCAAAGACGAAATATCTACTTAATCTTTTAGACTTGATGTGTGCTGCAATATTTAAAGGCAGAGTTTTGTTTGCCTTTATTATGAAGATGTGACCTAAGACTGTTCACAATTTAAAAATGAACTCTTCTAATTGCAAGCTACAGACTCTTCCTGGTCAAAGTGTATTGTTGGACAGTTTTCTCTGCCTTTTCAATGGAATCCTTGTCATCGGGTATTGGGCTTATAATTTGACTGTGAGCTTGAGATTTTCAATTAAATCAAGGCTGTATCCCTTGACCATTTCACATGTATTTTACAGCAATTAAATTTTAGACATCTGATAAATTGTGACCTTTATAAAAAATACATACTGTAAGGTAAATAAGGTAAATTATTGAAATAAAAAGCATAGACATTCACCTTAATTTACTGACCAAAGGTTCAGACTTGTGTGGCAGAATCATAACTCATAGTTGAACATATAATTCAGATTCTGTTATTATTCTACTATCTGCATATTTCTTGTATTTGACAGATAAAAAAACTGTTCAGTTTAACACATTAAATTCAAGATTGGACTGAGGCATTTCACAAATATCAGATTCATCTGTGCCTTTTCTTTCTGAAACTTTCTAAACATACAGTTATAACAATACTTACCATTTTCTCATTGAGCTATGGCGTGCAGTTTTGAATCTGATAAAATGGAAAGAAGCGGTGTTTGTTTTATTGATGTAGTTAGATGATTTCATACTGTATATCAGTTAATCTCAATTAGGCTGAAGTACACTACATGTTTCTTGAACATACTGTCAGTCTTACGAGGCTTCTCTGCTCTCCAGCTGATGTGTTACCTTATGCTTAGAGAGCGATTTGGATGGCAGGGAATCAGGGAGCTCTTGACTTTTACATCTTGTACAAGGACAGTTGCTGAAAAGCTGTGAGGCTATCTCCACTTTTTAGGGTAATTATGCTCTAGTGCTTTCTACAGAATTGTCTTCTCCCATTGTGTTACATCCACACGCACATCCTGCAGCAACTCTTCTGGAGGTATTACTTTGCTAGAAGCATTCTGTTTAGAAAACAAAGGAAGGGTAAATATTGTACAGCAGGCATCTCTAATCCTGGCCCGAATCCAATACAATTGAATAGATTACCCTACATCCAGTTTTAAAGACTGGCAACACGTTATTGAGCAATTAAGCAAAAAACTATACTCAAGTAAGGGAGATCTGGTCTTTAGGATCTGACAATTTTTGTTTCTAATGATCTGCTTAATTTAGCAAATCACCTGCAATTGATCACAATTAAATTGTTGCCAGATGATTTGATGGTTATGTGTAAAACTTGCTGGACTGGGACACTCCAAGAGCACGGTTGAAGATCCCTGAACAGTATTATATGGTTTTGGATTAGATACTACTGCGCTGTTACATCTGCCCCACCAAATTGTTTGTGTGTAATCAGTGGTTAGGTCTCTGTACAGGAAACGGAAACAAATGGGCATTTATGCTGAAAAGCCGAACTAAAGTAACTTAAAATTAATTTGTTGGTTTAAAAGCATCTTGTACAAGCTGCCCAAAATTGTTAATGTTACTCTGTTTACTTGTGTCTAAATGTTTGTCTTTTACTCTAGAGATTTCCACGGTACAAATCCACGCTATTATATGGTGCCTTTTTTCCCCAAAGTATGCCAAAAGCCTTTATATACTGTATACAGTATGAGGGGACGCATTTCAGGCAGCACTGTGCAGTATCCATCAGGGGTGATTTCAGGTGAAACTTTGTCAGTTTTAAGCTAATACAAAAGACACTTTTGATGCTAAATTTTCTTATAAAATCGCTTACATGAGATAACATACAGTAAATATTGATGCATGCTTTTATTTTAATGAGATTATTTAATGCCTGTTTACTGGGGTATCTTCTAAGGAGCTGCTGTACAACAAATAGGCTTCAGTGCTGTACCTCCAGACTTCATTAGTCTGAGTTCATCAACACGTTAATTCATAGAATAAACGTACATCATTAGAGTAAAATGTTTCCTCCATAGTCCGTAGTTCCATAGTCTTCTTGAATAAAACTGCAATCGTTTTTTCAAAATCAAATTTATTAAGAATATTCTTACTCATTAATGAGTTTATCATTTAAATGTGTTTAAAAAAAGTTGCATTTGATCAGGATAGTAATTTTCACATCAGGGTTTTAAGAGTCTCATTAAAATATAACACAGAGAGTGAGATTTATGAATGACTGCTTTATTTAAAAAATAGTTCAGAAATCCCTGCTGCTTCTGTCATTCTGTGATTGTACACGCTACTTGCTGACTCATTTACAATCTCTGCCAGCAAGCTGTGAACCTGGGAGAAAATCTAGAATTTGAATGGTTTTGACAGTAGGGACGTTGACAACTGAAATGTTAAATACTGATACAGTACACAGGGCTCTACCTAAATTCCTGGATAAATCTGAACGTGTCACAGCTCAGTTGCAGCAAAGTAAGAAAAATCTCAGAAAAGGCATTAAGTCTTTAACAATTGCAGTAATTTATCAAATCCAAGCGTATTGTTTTTTTTTAAATAACAAAGTATAAAAAGTAATGTGCTGACATTATAAAAACACTGTGGCATAATTTGGCATAACCTGTTGGGTCTTACAATAAGAAAGCATTTCAACAATATAAATGCAAATCTTGGGGAAGTAAATGAGCTTTTCTTCAGATTACCAGAAAACCTAGACTATTTTCAAAAAAGGCACATTTTAGAGTTCTCAGTGACAGATTGAACAACAGCTGACTGGTGTTTTGACATTAGCTCCTGCTTCCTGTCAGGTTTTATGTCAATCTGTACTGTATATGTGAATCTGTATATGAAGTGCACATCAACACCTGGCTTGAGTGTACGATCAAACATGATATTCCAGCAAACACAAAGTAAGATGTAGCTTTATGAACTGAAGTAAATTCGTTTTCTGGACAATATTTTTGTTCAAAAAGTCTATTTTTCTGATTCTGGTCCTGATCCTGTGGAACTCCTATCCTAAAACAGTGAATGGGATCTGTAACTGGCATTCACTCTGTAATCTGAATTTCTGAGATTTACAGCTTCCCTCCCTCAATTACAGTGTGTTAGGTGAAATGACTGGACCTCTGGAAAAATGAAAAACTAGCTCATTGTTCGAGTATCTGTTTATTTTCAACAGATCAAATGTTAATACTGAAGCTGTTTAATTAAAATGTACTTCCTTATATCTTTTTAGATAGATAGATACTTTATTGATCCCGTGAGGGAAATTGCAGAGCAAGCTGAGAAGAGATTGTCCAAAGTTCTATAAAATGAAATTGCTGGGACAACACACTTGCCAATATTCCACTTGCAATATTTTTAAAAATCAAGGATTGAGTGCAAAACCAGAAATAAGGTACAAAAGTCTAGAGAATCAAGCAGTTGAATTAAAGGCATCAATTAGTACCAGTTGTTTACAGCTCCATTGGAGAGAAAACCAGCATAATACCACTGTGCCAAATAAACAAATTAAAATAATGTGCAGGATTTCAGATCTGGAGTGATGCAGTGTTCTGTTTCCTGTACCCCTTGTTTTTTCTAACAGTAGCCATGATTTTGGGGGTGCAGCATTGATTGTAACACTATCACAGATTAATCCCTGGATAAACCAATAGTCGGGAGATTGTGTTGAGAACTGTTGAGATTGTGTTGGAATCGGATAGTGAATGCCATCTTGCAACACAGTCTAGAGCACTACTACTAGAATATATTTCTACAATTTCCACAGTGTTACAAATTAAACAGGGCCCTTCTGGTATAGTAAATTTATTGGGCTTTTTGGTGGGGGAGAGCTTTTTTGCTTCACTTTTTCAATGACAATTATTTATTTTATGCCTGTTATTATAAAAATGTCCTTGATGTGTTCACTGTGATTCTGTCTTATTTTCACGTTTTAAGTGCAAAGGCTTTTTAACGCATTTTAAACAAGACTAAAGTGGTGCATTATAAGTTGTCCGCGTCTCTTTGAAAATGTAATTTTAAAACAAAAAAAATGGAACTCCATTAGTTCCACTGAAATGAAACATGTAGCTCACTTTTTCTATTCAGTCTTCTGTTTCTTCTGTAAGATAGTACAGGCTAATACATTTCAGTCATTAAAGTAATGAAAACAGTTAATAAGAATGAAACATCCAATAAATCGACTAACAAAAATGTAATGGATGGATTACATTTGAAGATAAGGATTAGGCTGACTTATTTTGAGAGTGAACAACATTGCTGTTTGGAAATTCAAGGAGGCAAGATGCAGGTGTGTGCTCAGAAAGACATGATAACCTCTTGACATCATATTAGCTTTTGAGTCAGGTCTATTTCTGTTGTTTTCATTGCTTTTGTGAGTTTAATTTGCTCTTAAATTACTTGCAGCTTGCCTCCACCTTGCCTTGGATGATAAATTACAGACCTAATCCGACATTATGTGAAACGTGTTCACTGAGGAATATGACTTGACAGCCAGGTATGTGCTGTCTGTAATAAGGGTCTGTCGCCTTCAATAGATTTGACAGGTAAAAACTTAATAGTACCGAAGAAGCTGTAACAATAGAAATAATGTGTTTAAGCTTCAGTGGTGTGAAAAAAGTTTTTTTTCTTGTCTTTAATGACTGTATGTTGTATTTTCCCTTCACAGCTTAATTTGGCCAGATATACAGAATATGCCCCGAAGCCCAACATCTAGTGAAGATGAGATGGCACAAAGTTTTTCCGACTATTCTATGGAATCAGAATCTGATAGCTCAAAAGAGGAAACCATCTATGACACCATAAGAGCCACAGCCGAGAAGCCAACCAGCAGAATGGAAGACATCCAGAACAACACACTTGTCATCCGCATTGCCATTCCTGATCTTCAACAGACGGTGGGTGTATGATGGGGAGGAGCAGACAGTGGATCATCCAGACAATACTCTAGCAATCCTGTCAGCTGAATAACTAGACTTCTGCTTATTTGTTGCATGCCATGCAGCTCTAAACAAGTACTGACTGCCTGGACTTTGCTTTTGTCTATCCTAGCAAAAAACTCATTCCATAGTAGTAACAGACAGCTGCGATGGAGGGGGACGTGCAGTGGATGGTTTAAAGAGCTCTTTAGAAACCTAGATTCGTTCTCCTTCAATAAAAGGTCAGCTAAATTTAAGAAAAAGGAACCGAGTTGCTGTGTTCATTTTTATAGTGACAGTTCTCCAGCTTGCATTTGTATCTTGTGGGGACAGCTTTTATTTAGGTCATTCTCTACCTCTCTTGTTGTACAGCAGTTAGTTAAGTAGCTTCTCCATAAGGAAAGACTTAATAAGTGAAATTGAACTCATTTCAGTAAGGAAGACAGTAGTAGTGTTAGGGAAAGCATGTTGTTAAATTGTAACTTTTTTCCTTAAACTCTTACAGATAATCCTACACATAATAAAATGCAGTACAGAGAGTTGGGAGGAAGAAAGCCTGTATATATTGCTATATACTCTAATGATCTATTACTCAAATGATCCGTCATCAATACAAGCACCAAATGCTGGCTCTTGTTGACTATTACAACAGCAATTAATCCTAACTAGTCCAAACACGACAGTCCTAATTAATTATGTATGTGTGCATCAATAGTATGCATTGTGTCTAAATTAACAAGGACAGAAACAGGTTTTCATTCATTGCATTTTGCAAAAATGTCATTCCATCTATTGGCTTTAAACTCTGGGTTTGTCTCTGAGCCACCTTGGGGGTTCCTGAGACAAATCTTTGACTGAGTAATGAGTTGAGTGGCGGGTGACTGTATCTGTCCTGTGCCAAGTGTTAAAAAACAGACAGGAATTATTTACTGGCATTTAAATTGAGTTTTTATAAACCCAGATTGATGTGGAGAACACAAACGAAAATGTTTTGCATTTTTATACTTGCCAAAAGTCAGTAAAAACAGGTAATTTAACTGTATGTGTTAATATTTATTATATATTCAGACATTGGGTCTGGAACTGTCAAACTCTATTAGTATATCCAGTGGAATTGAAGGAAGGCTGTCATCAGCTGTTACCAGTTGATTGTTTGAAAGGAGTCACATAACCATGCAACCACAACTTTTATAATTACTCCCTGCCAGGGGATTTCCAGTAGCATATATTCTGTCATTCACAACTGTCTCAGGAGGCTTGTTTAATATAGTGCATTTTCTGCCAAGAAAGATTGAGAGAATAACATTTAATCGAACCATCTTTAGACTTGAATCTACATTTGGTTTAGAAAGTAGAAAATTAGCAATCATTCTTGTTTATTTCTGTAATTTGTTTTTTATTACAGCTATAAACATTCAAAACTTTGATTTTAACATTTTCTCTTGCAGTTCCTTGAACTGTAAGAGTGATTTTTAGAATACAGCAGAAAAATCAATAACTTATTGGGAGATCTGACAGGTGTAGCTGCTTAGTGATTCAAGAGGTGCATAGCCTGGAGTAGCAACAATGACGAATGACAGTTCATGCTTCATTGAAAATGAATTGGGTATACCTGCATTAAGTTAAGATGCAATGAGAAACAATAAGGAATAGTAAAGAAGATCCTATGCCACAGAGAAAATGGTGTGCTTACCATAGTTGTTTTGTTTGTAAAGGTGCAGTAGATTGTGAGCACAAAATCCAAAGAGGATTTGAAATATGGAAATTTTCAAACATAAGTCTCAAATCCTTAAAGTCTTGCCTGTGGCATTAGCTATGTGTTCTTGTAAGGCTTTTCTGTTTAAATACAAATAGGGTTTATTTTTTTCCCTCAGTACACAAGAGGATTTACTCAGTGACATATCTTTAAGAGCCTTTCCACATATTAAAACATTTTTCAAAATACATATTAATAACTTATTATGTGAATATTAATATTATGTGATAAGCAAACATGCATTGTTTGTGTGGAGTTATTGAAATGAGTATCAAATAAATATACCTGAAAATACTGAATTAAGTTGTATACAATTACATTTAATTTTTAAGTATATGTTCCATACAGTATACTGTAGATGTCTCAACCTATCTTACTAATATGAAGAAAAAGTGAAAAAAAATAGTTTTCTTAGAACATTAGAACTTTCATCAGAACATCATCATTTCAATGCTAATTTCACTTCATTATGCAAGAATAAACTCCATCTTAACGTGCATTGAGTGTACTCAATTGTGTATGTAATAATATTTTATTGTATTATATTTTTATTATATAGACTTTTAATCAAATGTAGAGTCGCTAATGTCGGTATTGCTGTTTCTGATACACAAATCAAAACCAAGTGAAAAAAGCAAATGAGTTGGAAAAAATGTATTTCCTTTTGAAGTTATGTAAAACTTAATTGCATTTTCCAAGACTTAGTATAAAACCATTTAGAGAAAGCAGTGATACTTTTGTGATTCACAAAAGATTTTGGAACATGACCAGAAATGTCTATATGTAGACAGTATTACCTGACGTTAAAGCTTCTCGAAAATATTTTCACTGCGTAATTAGCATAATCCAAAGTTAATTAAATTCAGAATGTTTTTTTGTATTTCTCCAAACAATTGTTTTATAGTAAACAATTTAGCTGAAAGGGGATTTCTTCTGTGTTTTTGTCTGGAAAACAATACATGTAATGTATTGAATAAAGATTACCATTCCATACTGACTTCTGATTAAAATGGATTGCCTAAGCAATTTTAATTTAAAAGAAATGTAGGATTCTAAAAAAATATTTATTTGGTTTATAATTGCTTTTCATATTTAAATGTGTGCTTCTTGCCAAAAAATAGTGCAACAGTTAACCTTTCTTTTGTTTTCAACAGAAATGCATGAGGTTTAACCCTGACGCTACAGTATGGGTTGCTAAGCAACGGATCCTGTGCACACTGAATCAGAGTCTGAAGGATGTCCTGAACTATGGCCTCTTTCAACCTGCAAGTAATGGGCGAGACGGTAAATTCCTGGATGAGGAACGACTGCTTAGAGAATATCCTCAACCTATCAGCAAGGGCGTCCCATCATTAGAGGTAATGTACTATTCACCTGTAATGGTGTTAAAATAGCTGCTGTACCTTACCACCCTCCTTTACAGTTTTTATTTACAGTATATTTAGTTTTTGACACCCGTATACAAAATCCTGCACCTGTCTACATGCATTGGCAACAGGTTGCCAAGTCTTGATTTTTGTCTTAATTTTCGACTGAGGTATTGCTTTCGTTTCCTCCTAATTTGGTATAAACAGTTGAATAGTTTACTAACTATGCCAGAATCTAGATCATTTCTATAAATTAGGAAGGGTAGTGGTAGTCCTGGTATACAGTAGATTCCCTGGTATAGGAACATTGTCAAAAGTCTTCTGAAAACCCAAATACCATATTCTTTGCTCTGTGTATACAGTTTACATTACTGTTGTTACCTTTTCAAACAACTCTAACTAAAGTTGGTAAGGCATGACCTACCTTTCTAAATCTATGTTGAATGTTCCCTATTATCTTATTTCCATTAAGACGATCCTCTGATAGAATTCTAATAATTGTTTACCTTACACATACTATAAGTATCAAACATATTTATTTATATTTAATTGTTTCTGTTTTGTCTTATAATTAATTTAGCAGATCAGCAAAGTCTCTTTCATTGTCTAGATGTTTTCCTTTATTGTCATGCTATATTGTTATATATAATAATATGTATACAATATTTTATATTTCACTTCATTCTAAATGGTTCTCTTACAGTTATAATAGTGAAAAACCTTTCCTACTTATTTTAGGAACAACTGATAGGTTTATTTCTTGTTGAAAAAAGAAGAATGTAAACCCAATGTTTTGGCTGTGGAGCCTTCTTCTGGTGTGACTACTTTTTTTAGTCCCCATTGCAATATTCCTTTCAATTTCTCTCTTGGTTTTTTTAATACTAGTATTTAATAAAGCTAGGAAATGCTGGTAATACTAGAAAGCAAAACCTTTATTTTAAAATCATAACGACATTATCTACTCTTTGAGTTCTAAATCTTACAGTTCTGAAAATCGCACCTACTTTTCTTTTTTTTTTAATCAGTTCCGTTACAAGAGGAGAGTTTACAAACAAGCTAACCTTGATGAAAAACAAATTGCCAAACTTCACACAAAGGTGAGTGTGATTTGGGGTTTGTGTATTTATTTTTTTGTACAATAATTTATTTTCCCAAATATTTTAAGCTACCATTCTATTGCTTTGTAGTAGCCTGCTTTCAAATTACATTGCTTAGATAACATAAGGATAAGGTTAAGGTTGAAGTTGATATCTGGGCTCCAACTTCTCAATAGTGTATTGATGGTAAGATCAAGTACAGTATATGACTGATACTTTATCTGATTGCACATTACAATGCAGGGAGGACGTGTTTGAGGATGTAGTAAAGACAAATTTGTACAGGATCACTCGATTCCAGACAGGATTCTGAGACTTCACTGTATACCAGGTTAATAATTACTGTATAAGCTTAAATGCTAAGACGTTGCTTTTTTTTTGTTGAATTTCTGTGCACAGTGCTTACAGATGTCTCTAAACCTCTTCAGAAACCAGATACAGTAGATGTTTTACTTTGTCCTTTCAGAAGACTCTGTATAAATTTGAGATCTTGTTTTCCGTTTTGAAGGCCAATTTGTTTGCTGGAATAGCATGTATTGGCATGTGGCTGTAATTTTCATACTTACTGGATGATTTACAATGGTGAGAAAGGTTGAAAGGAGGACACCTTTTTCGGCTGAAAATTAAAAGGTTTTTCATTATCTTCTACATTGGGAGCCGCAAACCCAAGGTTTAGAATTTCATAAAAATGCACTTGGTTAAATTATGAAACTGCCTTCTTAAATGCCATGTATTCTAGAACTGTAGTTTTTTTTAAGTTGGGAAGGAAATGCTGTCATTAACACACAATGGAAAAATATTTCAAATCTGCTGATTGTATCTGATGTAACAGAACATGGATGTTTCTTACATTCAAAAAGGACTTAGCAGCTGTGGGTATCTTTGGTGCAGATGATTATTTTAAAACATAATTAGTTATTACAGGACGCCTAGCTGAATTTTCATTTAAGCTTACCAGTGTGCTTTTAAATCTCTGTTGTTTATTGTTTATGACTGGGTTGACATATTTGTGTATTATGTGAAGAACCACAGTAACGTTTTTGTGTGAACTGATGTCATGTTGGAGAGTACTGTTGCTCAGTAGAAGAACCTGGGAAGAGAGTGCTCAGATCCTATATATCAATTTTGCAAAAGAGTTATTTAACGCAGTGGAAAAAGCATGATGTGCCATCTGCAACTCTGATAATTAATATACTACTTAACAGATAGCAAATATGTTGAATGATGCACGTTTTTAAGTCAAAGTCAGTGAATTTTCCTAATAAAAATATCCTAGAAAAATCCAAAGGAATTGATTCCTGTCAACAAAAAGCAGCAAGCAAATGACATGCTATGTTGATGTCATAAATATGGAAAGTGATTCTGTGTGTTCATGTGAGACATTTTTAATTTACAGGCAGAATTTAGTGTTATTGGGCATTATTTTCACTTTGTTTTTTCTTCTAAAATGAAATGCTATTTGATTCACACAGCTGTGAGATTGTGCTTTTTGTTAATATTTTTCTTTTACATTTTGAAGCAAACACCAAATAAAGCATATGTGTGTACATCTGTATTTAAAATATAGGGATTAAACACAGATATCTACAGTGTTTGTGTTAACAGTATATACAGTAATATATACTGTTACAGTGTGTGTATATTTATTCTTCAATGTGGAAAAAAAATGTTTAAAATGTGAACAAATAGAATCAACAAATAATGTACAGTATATAAATATATTTTTCCAGTAGGTTTTCTATATTCCAACCGTATTTTGAAAACATCAGTCTGGTTAAAGCAGTACTTTATTTCAGCTTCTGAAAGGTTGGGATATATTTCTCCCTTGTTGCCACATCAAGGCATCTGACATTTCTGGGGGTGGAGTTAGAGGGTATCAAGGAATATACTGTACATGGGGGGCAGTTTCCGATACTGTAAGCTATTCTGAAGCCTACAATTTACTCCTGTGGCTTGAAAGAGGAAAAACACTAATTAAATGATAATACAACTGTGGAAGTGCCCCTTCAATCAGAAGTTGTTTCACGTATCAAAATATGTGCTTTGTCAAGATTAATACAAAGATTTAAGGGTTTAATTTTAACTAAGGATGAATTGATCATAACTTCACCCTGAAACACAAGACTATACAGTACATTTAGTGGGAATCCAAATGTGTTACAAATATGGAAAATATGTCCAGTTAAATTGCTGAGTTGGGTTGTTTCTTCACTTCAAATGGCAAAAATTGATTTTTGTTTTTATTTTATTATCGATTTGAAAAGCAAATACATGAATTGAAAATGGAGTATTATGAAAGCTTTCACCTATAATGTATTGGATCAAGTTGGTAATTGGTTTAAATGCCAATGTTTCACATTACAGTTTGAATTATTGAAGACCACACTCTACAATATCTGTACGCAATATTCCAGTATGTCACTTACCGTATATTTGGGTATTTTCAAGAACTCTGTCACTGTTTTTCTGTTAATGTTGCATGATTGTAAAGTTAAGTATCTGAAAATACTATTGTGGTTATACAATATGGTGAAAAGGAAATAAAGATAAAGTAGATTTTTTGTGGTATTTGTCAAATGAGGTTAGGTTTATGTGCTATCAGGATGTGACTTAGTGAATGTCAAGTATGTCTAAATATGTTAAACTCGTAAGGGGGTGTACTTTTTTACCACACTGTAACTGGAAGATTTGTGAGATGAGCATTTTTTATTTTACTGGAAAACAAGTAAATACAATAAACTGTGAGAATGTTGAAGGAGTCATATTTAAGTCAGCATGACATGAAAATAGTGTACTTAAAATGTTAATTTGTTTTTTTCCCTTGCATGTTGGTTTAGTTAAACACCTTCAACTGCTTGCCTTTATCAGCTAAAATACCTGTACTTCTTTGAAGGGGAAACATGAGCTCATAGCTGTCTGTGGTAGCAGTCCTCTCTGTTTCAAAGGTTTTCAGCTTCAGCACTTTTCTTTGCAATGATAGCAAGGTGAAAATGTATTCTGAGGCTGAGGAGTTCTCCCTGACACTCCTCTTCTAGTATTGTCCTGGGACCTGCTCTCCAATCTATTTTAAAATGCCCTGGAAAATCATAAGGAACATTTGTCCCCAGAATAGACTTAATGTTTTTTAGCATGCTGAAATTCTAATGGAGCCTTGATCACAAAGCGGTTGCAAGCCTTAAACCTCGCCTCACTCACTCATTTTTCATTCTTTCTTCTTTTCAGGCCAACCTGAGAAAATTTATGGACCACATTCAACATCACCAGTTGGATAAAGTTACCAAGATGCTAGAAAGAGGGTTAGACCCTAATTACCATGACCCAGAAACTGGTGGTATGAAAAGTGTGACTTTATTCTGCACATTTAAAGAGACAAGCCATAGGATTGCTGTTGCTGTCATTGGTCGTATAATATGCCCTTGGATAAACTATCACTGACTATGTTTATAATAAGAAAAACTGAAGATTTAAAGAAAATGCATATACTTCTTTTGACCCCTCTGCACAGACTATTCTTTGGTTCAGTTGTTGACATATCTTGGCCATAATTGTCTGAAGAAGAAATATTATCAGTGCTTATTTTATGCATAATGTATCTATTTGACACCTCTTTTATTCTCAATTTTTAGCATGTGTCGTCTAGTTACAAAGCTGACCTTAAAGTAATCTATACAATTGATTTTGAAATGAACAAGTAGATTGATTGCCCTTTGTTTGTTGATGCTAGTCGAGTGACTGCTTTAGACAGTGGATCAGCACATCGGGTCCCCCTTTGGTTTCATGCTGAAACTCTGAAGTTCAGTCCAATAGAATTCATTACGCTACACCCGCAGAGCTGTGTTAAGCATGTAAAACAGCAGGGGAAGAACAGAGGGGAAGCAGCAGGTGTAGTTCATAATAAACACCACAATCACAAATTGAAAACTCCAGTCTTGTGTTCTAGTGCATTAAAACCCTATTATACCTGAGGAGCCTAGTATCTGGAAACTGCAGTGTGCAGTGTGGCAGGTGTTTCTTTAAGTTCTGATCCTTAAAGCCATAGCAACTCAGTGTTCAGTACATAAGGGAACAGACAAGAACAAACTTGTTTTGAACTAATAGCTGGGGTACCAAGAAATAAAATCGCAGCTTAAGCTATTAAAAAAGTCACTCCAGGCAAAGAAGGCAGGCAATGTTTTCCAGAGTCTCTCTGTCAGAGCCGGTATTATAATCCAAAGCTGTTAATATTCTCAGTAGTAGTCAGGACAAGAATACTATCTATAGGATACTTATTATGTATTTTGTATGTCTGCATTTGGTGGTGTGAAATTGGACCTTTGCTTTAAAAACTCATGTTCTGTTTATCCTTAATCATATTTTCAATAGTGATTTGGATCAACCTGCTGCATAGATTTATTTAATGAGACGCATACAGCATAAACAGTAAAGATTAATGAAAGTTTTAATATGGAAAGTGCTTTAATGAATTTGCCTTTGGGTTTATTTGGTCTGTCTTTGTGTGCTGATATGCCATAGTCTGCATTTTCATGGCGGTTGTCTTGCCTGATACCTTTCCTTGTAATTTAAAGATCTGTTTTTTGAATTTGTTCCTTGCTGAAGTACTGAAAAAAATATATCCAATCAAAATAATTTGTCCAACCTTGCAAAAGTATCTTTGAACTGATCACAGCTGAAAGGCTTATCTATAGGAGCTTTTTCTTTCCGTATGTGAAATCCTGAAGCATTTAGAGAAAATTTGTATTTCTGTTGTTTTGTAGTAAAGATGCCTTTACTCGGGTATCGATTCTCATTTCCATTAGATGCACAAGCGCTATTCCAAGTGGACAAGTTGTAAAAGCTTAATTTAAAAAGTAATAGAATGGGCCCAGTGCCTGCCATTAGTTATAGCTGTCAGCTCCAGAAGCTCATGCTTCCCAGACTGAACCTGTCCCAATTATGTTACTGGGAACTTGAGACCTTAATCATTTTAGCATTTCTAATTTTGTAATAATGCCAAGTTTTTCATGCTAATTTTGCCACAGCAGCTCAGTCCATGAAAACATGGACTGTATATTAAGATATTCCCGAACTATTATCCACAATGCAGGCCCTCTATGGCCTTTTTGCTTTGTCCCCTAATTGGCATAATTCCAGAAAGACAATTGCTTCTGTTCATTTTCACAATCTTAATATATAATTGTACGACTTTAATTAGTTGATATAAATTTAAAACGCTTCTCACTCTCAAGTGATTACTTACTGAAGCATTTTAGTTGACTAATAAGTTCAGGTCTACAATTACAGTCATGCATATTCAAATGACCAGGCACATTCTTGAAAAACTACTGAACAAGATGGCTTCAGAATCTTCACTTTCAACATGAGAACAATTTATTATATCTAGTTATTTAAGAAATGCTTTTCTAAAAATGAATCCTTGTTGGTAGAAGAACGGAACATCTCTTACAGTCACACATACAGTACAGGTTCTCATTGATAATTTCTTTTTATATACTGTATATAAGATTGTTCTGATCTAAAATGTCATTAAATAACACTTCTACCATGAAAAGGTGCAAATAGATGCCCTCCAGATACAGTATATACAAGATATACATATCTTTCCTGTGTTTGCAGTTATCTACAGTACCTTTATGAGTTCTTGTCAAACTGCTTCATGTTTGGGCTTTTGTTTATGAGATATAATGGAACTATAGTAGCTTATAAATAGATAAAATACAAATTCATTTACAAATCACTTTTCGGCCTTTTGGCAGCATACCTAGAAATGAGCAGTGCTCATTTTTTGCAGAAAGTCACTAAAACTGTTTCAGACTAGCACATTTGATAGAATTTGGGAGAGGGTAAAGGGCAATTTTAATGCCAGCTGTAAAAAATATAAATTGGTCTTGTTATCTCAACCTACTTAAACCTCTAAGTGCGAAGTAAATATTTGATTCAACACCCATTGGGAGAATTTAGGAATCCTCTGGAAATTGAAATAGACTCCCTGAATGTGTTGGCATTGCAGCAGGTTGGTTTGAGTTGGGGCGGAGCGGTGGCTCTGTGGCTAAGGATCTGCGCCTGTGGCTGGAAGGTCTCTGGTTCAAATCCCACGGCCAGTAGAGGAATCCTGCTCTGTTGGGTCCCTGAGCAAGGCCCTTAACCCCAACTACTCCAGGGGTGCTGTACAATGGCTGACCCTGCGCTCTGACCCCCAGCTTCTCTCCCTGTCTGTGTGTCTCGTGGAGAGCAAGCTATGGTCTGCGAAAAGACGAATTCCTAATGCAAGAAATTGTATATGGCTAATAAAGTGATCTGAACTGATCTGAGTGTGACTGACTTCTGTCACCATTTTTGGATTGTCATCCTGTTGAAATTGAGTGGAACCTGTGGAACACACTGTTCAGTCCCTCACAGTGGGGCACTCATTGGAACTCCAACTTAATGTAATCCTGCTAAAATATCGGTGATCTGTGATTGTCCTGCAAATATTTCTCAATCATGCAATGATATCTTCTGTTCAAGCTGTTTTCTGCTAATTGGAGAGGTACAACATGTTAATCACTGGGTGTCATAACATTTTAACCTGCAAGTATATTTTAAGTACTGTATAATACATTGTTATAATGGTAATTATAACAAGTTATAATATTTTAATTTAGTTCTTGTACAATATGATCACTTAAAAAAAATCTGTATTAGATACTGTAACCCTCTCGCTTTAGTTTTTACGTTTTTTGTATTATTTAGTGATTGAAAAAATGCTTCATTGCTTATGCTGATGGAGTTGATTACATCAAATACATTGTGTCCTGAGAATAAACTAATTAAGTTACTGAATCGAAACATTGACAACTGAAGGTTCTCCAGGCATATCTGAAAGTAACCGTTTTTATGCTTTGTTTGCCTTGTTTTGCTACAGAGACTCCACTTACATTTGCAGCCCATCTTGACAATACAGTGGAAATCATCAAGGCTCTGAAAAACGGGGGAGCGCATTTAGATTTCAGAGCCAAAGATGGGATGACAGCGTTGCATAAAGCAGCTAAATCAAAGAATCAAGTTGCTCTTACGGTAGGCTTTTGTTTGTTGTTGTAGTGACTGAGCTTAATGGGATTGCACAAATAACTATGTCTTCTGTAAAATGACAGGCAGCCATACATCTTTACCCTTTTTAGTTTCCCTTCTGGATATCTCAAGATAACCTGCAGTCATCTAAAAGTCTGCAGCTGCAATTATTGCAAAGCAAATGGTAGAAGACTCCCAAGAAAAGGGAGCCCACTGGCCTTTCAATTTTAATTCCCGTGTTTGTATTTTGAAAGCGATTGCCTTTGATCAAAGCTTGGGCTGGGAAGTGGGTGGGCTGGGAGCAGGAGGAGGTCGTCATCCCAGTCTCTGGGCTTCTCTCGGTTATTTCATTGACAGACTCTCTTGGAACTGGGAGCCTCGCCTGATTACAAGGACAGCAGAGGTCTCACGGCGTTGTACCACACAGCCATGGTTGGGGGTGACCCATACTGCTGTGAGCTGCTGCTGCACGAACACACCACAATCAGCTGCCAGGATGAGAATGGCTGGCAAGAAATTCACCAGGTAGACACCTTTAGTTTGCACTGACCCTCTCACTTAGACTGTGCCATGTCTCCTACTTGACTCTTTCTTAATGGCAACTTAAAGGGGAACTGCAAAGCTCTTTTCATATTTAGGGGTTAGAATCAGCATTGATGGGTGCATTTCAAACCACAATAAAAGTAAAATGTACACAGTAATTTGTAAAACCTCCAATTTACATAGCAAAATTCAGCTTCAGCAATATTTCCTGGCATGTGCTGTACCAGTATTGTGCGATTCAGAACGAGGCAACAAAACCGCTGGTGACATTTTGCGGCTGTATTATATTGTAAAGGAAGGCTTGTGAATGCATTGCTTTTATTCCAATAGAAACATTGCTTTCGATTTTAAAACGGTTTTGCTGACTTAACTGCATGCAGATCACATTGCAACGTTTCTGTAGTGTAATGTCTGCTGCACAACCTGTACTTATATACTCGTACATCACATTACATTAGTCATTTTGGTGACTAGTGAGCAGGGAGGGCTACATCGTGTCGCAATTCATAGGAACTCAAATGTGAGTTTGCGATCAAAATGGTAACTTACAGTACTTTCACAAAGTTCACGATTTTGTGCTTAATTTGAAATTTGACATTTTTTTTATAACATCAATGTATTTATTTTGATACTGAGATTAAATAACCAGTGTGAGAAATCAGGAGTGCAGTTCCCCTCTAATGTGTGATCTACAATCCCAAACCCAGGCTCTTTAAATTGTGTCATTTCTCTTTTTCTTTTCAAATTAATGTACATTCATTTTTGTATTGGTTTTTATGTTGTGTCGGACTTAAAAGTAATTTCTCTTTGGTGAAAAGAGTAAAAGTTTGAACTGAATTTAATTTGAATTAGAATGTTATTTTAGGTACAGATATTTCATAACATAAGATAAAGATTAACAAATGTGTTTGACATGATGATTTATGCCATGTTACACAAATAATCTGCACATTTTGCAAGCGTAATCAAGATATGGCTACTGTAGCACTTTCTTTTTTAAAAGTATTTAAATAAAAATAAATAAAAGTATTTGGTGTGCTATCCTAAAGAAAGCAAGTTAGAGCAAATGTCTTGGAAAAAAGCATGCTGAGAGTGCTGAGAGAGTTTTCCTGGAAAAAACAAGCTGTGAGTGAATTATATAATTAGCTTTACTACTGCTGTTTTCATGGAACGGTAGATTCAGAAACAGAAAATCAGTCTTATTGATGAGCCTGATACAAAAGCCAGATCTACAACTTACTTTTTAAGGTTACATTTACGGTGGATGTTTTTGAATATATGCTTAAATAATAAGAAAAGCCAAACAATAGCAATGGAAGCAAGTAATGCAATTGTACAGTTGGTACTTTATACTGTATGTTGTTTTCTTTTCATTTAATTAAGAGAGCACCTATATATAGATGAGAGCTGCATTGTTTTTCTTTTTTTCTAATCAATACGGCACTGAAAGCAAAATGAATTTTTTGTCATGTCTTATAACAAATGACAAAGTTGACTCCCTCAGGATACTTTTAATAAGATGTAGGGAATAAGGAATAGTACACAGTACATGTTTTATGTTGAGTTTAATACAGATGGCCAACAATCTACTGGGAGAATGTTAAATTAGGGGATGAATGTGCTTGTGGACCCGCAGGTAAAAAAGATGAAAATATATCTCGCATTAGTGGTTCAAAACTTTGGTTTATTGTTTCTGTGTCTGTAGGGGAGAACTGTGTTAATTAAGAAAACAAAACAACTCATGAATAGACAGGATTAGGTGGATAATATACTGTAAGTTTAGTAAAGCGAGATAAGAGGAGATTGTCTTAAAACACAGAACATAGAGAGTATATCAGTAGCATGCTCTGACCCTTTTGCAAAATGTACCTTTGAATGATGGCTGTTTTAGTGCATTATTACTTTATAGATGGTTTTAGAATGAAGCTAAGTACAAGATTTATTATTCTGTTTGAGGGATTTCCATGTTGCAGTTTAATCACTACAGGTATTTTATAGATGTTTAAGGAATTAAGGAAAAAATATTATGGGAATACTGTAGCACTTTAGATCCAGGTAGAGAGCTGGCCTGATAGATATCTGGGTAGATATTCATAACAAACAGCTGTAGGAATTAATATTTGCCAAGTGGAATTACTGTATATCTTCTGTGTAGGTGTCAATCTGTTACTCAACTTGGTTGTCCAACAGGAGAGGGTATTGTCCTCTAGATGTATTCCCTCTGGTTATTTTTCATTACATTGTTTCATTCTTTCAAAACAGATAAGAATATTTTAAAGACAGGGCACTTTTTGGAAGTCCTTTGACTCATAAAGCGCGTGTATTACTACTATTAAATGAATGGATGCATCTTGCTGAACTAACCTTGCTTCAGTCTTCTTCTATGCGCTTTTAAAATACATTCTCCCAGTGGTCTCCGTACAAATGTTTATGCACTAGATACGGTAATAAACCATTAAAACACACTGCCCATTTAACAGTATATAGCTCCAATTGAATGACAAAATCATGTCTGATTTTAATGATGTGATAAGCTATTAACGACTTTAATGGCCCAAGTGTACCAAGCATAGCAGGATTCAACGTGCAATAATAAAAAGATAATAGTTCTTCAGGTTCAGTCAGCAATATGTGCAACATGATTCATAGACTGAATGGAGTCGTTTAACTGTAATGCTGCCTTCCTTTTACTTCTTATATTTGTGCACCATTTTTATCAGTTAAAACTGTTTTAATTAGTTAATTGGATTTTTAATGTGCTGCTCAATGTAAAGAAAGATCCTAATTTTCTTTTTGTATTTGATTTGGTATGAAATAATAAGTGGGATGTAATAGTAAGAATCTATCACTGACAGTGGCCGCAGGCTCTGTTTTCTCAATGGAATTGTGTAATGTTCTACTCTAAGCTCTCCATAACCCCACTGCAATCTATAAAACACCTTTTAAAGCACTATTCACAATCAAATGTTTTTCATTTGACAATCCAAGTCTTTCAAGATTCTGTATTTTATTCTAGCAAATATGAAGTCAAGTTTTTCTATGCAGCCAGAGGTAGTGTATACAAGTACTGTACAGTGTTTTGCATATGTCCCCATGAACATTGCCCTATAACAAAACTGGGACAGCAAAGTAAAAACGGTTTGCTTTGCTGTCATGCATTTTAAATGTGTGATGGAAATGAATGATGGGTACAATGTAATATCTTTTTGGATAATATTCCATCTAATATGATCTTTTTGGACAATTCCATGCATCATATTTGAACATAAATGCTGTGCTTAGGCCAGTGAATATACACAGCCATGATTCACAGATGAGGATGTGTTTTTTTTCACCTACAATTTTGCAGAGGGCCTTGTATATCATTTTTGCTTGCATGTATGAACCAGACTTTAATTTTTCACTTTTTGCTTTTATTCCAGTATTAAAACACAGATAGAATATACACAATACCTAAGCTGTAAATAGAATTCAAGCAGAATAAACAGATTATTTTATCCCCTCACTTTGAGCTGCTTTAGTTTTACATTTTTAATACTGGTATTTTAGGATGATGTTTAGTATATTTAGTTTTGGTTATGCAGAAGACAGTATTTACACATACTGTGTTTTGTAATTTTCCATCTAAAATTTGAAAGATTCCTGTCTGAGTGCACAACGTACTTAAACTTGAAAAATCTCTGCTGTGCATTATCATCTCCTTAACTAAATGAAGCTTGGTCAAATTCTTCATCCAGAACACTTTTATGCCAATTAGACTAAACCAGTGACTTAGTTATTAGAGTTGTAGGGCATGACTTTAGAACTTGGATGATGACACCATGCTTATGTTGAAAGAAGGGAAGACAGGCCAAAAATCCTGTTAGACTCAGACAAGGGGAACAGTGGGTTGTGAGGTTAAAAACACTGTTATCAAACAAGAACTGGTGTCAACCAGTCCTGTGGTCTGCAGGATGTCATGGAAGAGCTGCCATGTATGAACCATAGATTTCTAAAGGGATAGGAAGCACAAAAAATGACGTTTCTCTGTACATACAGTACTGTGTACTGTTTGCATCAGTAGGACAGATCGGGGTGTGGCACCAGTCAAGTAATGTTTTAAAAATGACTGCATTGTCCAACTAGGGAAGTGTGAAAGAGGAAGGATCAGGCTTTGGAGCCAGTGGCTGTGTCATGGGCTAGGTGCTTTGATTGTAATTAAGTGAACAATGTGAACCTTGTTTTCCTGTGCTGCACAGATAGTGCCGCACTTCCTTTTGTGATCCAATTCTCCAGCGAAGGCACTGATGTCTGCCGGCATGACAATGCACCTTGTCATACAGTGGCACCTGTTAGGCAGTGGCTCATTGACGAGAGTTTCAAGAAAAAAAAATGGAAGAGCCATCCCAGAGCTCCATAAAAAGGAACTCTGGGGAGTCTGAAATGTTGCCTGAGGGCCAGAGCCATCACACTACAGTCCCTAGCTGAACTTGCAAATGCTCTGACAGAGGGTTGTGCCATATTCCATCAGATACATATCAAATTTAATGGCCAGTGTTAGTAGCAGGGCCTGAGTTGTGATGCTGCAAGAATCTATTAGAATGCAGAGCAACTGGAAACTCTGCCTCCATAAATATTAAAGCTATCTCTTCAATAGCCTGACTGGACTTGCTCCCCTTGTTAGTGCATTTATTAAAAAACAACCTGTTGTCGTTTTATTTCTAGGTCTGCACTAAATTTTACTTAATAATTAATTGAAAAGCTACAAGCTATTGGTTATTCTATGTTGATAAACTCTTGCATGGATATTAAGCAATTGCTTATCTTTTTTATTGATTTAATTTTTAAGTTTGATGGATATATTTTAGCCATAGTCCATTATGGTCGGCATATTGTCAGTGCAGTTACTGGATACTTTTGTCCTTTTGCTGTAAATGTCTTACCTGCCTTGCATGTGTTAGTTCAGTTATTTGGATTGATTTACCCACACAAGAAAGCAAAAATTGCAGAAGTATTATAGACAAATACTGTACCTCTTTGTGAACAAAGAGCTTTATTAATGTAAAAAAATGTGCTGAATGTAAAAAACTTTTTTTTATTTTCCCTTATGCTTAGCAATGTTATTTCTGCTTCACAGAGAACTTCTAAATGGTAAATTTATTTTTTTTTGTCAAATGAAATTGGAACATCTCTTAAAGGTTATTAAAGTTAACCTTAACATTTTGTTTTTTAAATAAACACACAAGGAGTATTTCTCCTCAGACAAAAACAGACCTACTGTAAATGGTTATATTGGTTATGTTGGGCATAGTGGTTCCTGCCCGTTCCCATCTTGTTGTGTAGGAACTGTGCCACCTAGTGGAACTTTGTTTTATGTAAAGCACTAAAGTCTGTTTTTTTTGTAATTCAGTTCATTTCAAGCTGGTGTGGTAATGGTTTATTATCAAGCTTTATTATACCTTGGGTGAAATTGGTTTTGCAGCAGAGACCAACACAACAGTACAACAAAAACAAAGATCACAAACAATTTACTTTCCTCTTTTAATTTCTTTTCTTTCTTGAAATGTACAGTATTTACTGATCTGATTTCTTACTGCTGTTATTATTTGGACTGACACAATAAAGATTATATATAAGTTTAGGTCATCAATGACATTAGCACAACAGTTGTGTAATCGTTTTTTTTTATAATATAGCAACACAGGAAAAATCAATCCAGACTGGCTTTTAATTTTCCATTTAAAATATATTTCTTCATTCTACAAACATAACAGTGGTATTTTAAAGTATTTTCAAACCATAGGTAATATTCTTTCTTCTTATAATTCAAGTTTGTTTGTGTCTTTAATTGAATAACCTGTGTATGCAGTAAGTACTTAATTCCCTTTATCGTATGAGGCAAAATCGCTCATGGGTTAAATGTGAAAACAATGCCTGGTTTTTATTTAACAAAAAGACTTACTCACCTTTTTAAGCAACATTTAATTTGTATCCATGTTTATGCTATAATTATGGTATAAATATAGTTTTAGCAAAGTAATCTCTGTATTATCTATTCTAAATTCAAACAATATTGCTGTTGAGTCCAGGGTGGAAGCAGCGGAGCTCACTTTAGTGGGTGAAGTTGTAGGATTAGACTTCTGTGGGCACCTTGTGTTTTGCAGTGAGGCCTCTTTTTATTAAAAGGGAAAAATAAAACTATAATGTGTTCCCACGTTTATCCGTTTTTATGTTTTGTTTCATATTCAGTTGTACTTTTGACATTCCTATCAACATAATAGATGTAATGGCTTTATAAGGTGTTCCATTCCACTGGCTAGGGCCCAGCTGTATAAATATTACAAGCTGTTTGTACAGTTTCATATAATGCAGTGATTTATGCTTGTGTTTAAGATTTTAATGATGAATGCTCTTACTACATATTTGTGTGATGCAGCTTTAGAAAAAACAGCTGTTCTTTAATGAAAGATTAGTTCTAGGAATTACTGGTGCTGTTGCTTAGCAACCACGAGGCTTCCATTAATTGGCAACTGGAAACTTATTAAGCTGCCCAAATTCTTTAGGGAGATGTAGCAGGAAGTCTTACTTTTAGACTTCCTGCTACATCTCCTGCTTTCTATCCTGTCAAAATGGGATAGAAAATATTAATTATATTGAACAGAAGTGAAGCTGTTATTAATTTGACACATACTGTAAGTGTTCAGGTTAAGTATTAGAAATAAATTATTGTTTTGTTTCTCATTTTCTTTGTGTGGTTGAAAACATCATTTGCTTTCATGTCTATTGTCTCCTTCATACAGGTTATATTATATATTTGGTTGGCCACGACTTTTATTTTTTCTGAATTGTTACACTTCTTTAGTAAAGAATACCGTTTTATTGTTTCTGTTTGATCAATTTCTTGTTTTCAAATCAGATTCTTTAACTTTTAACCTACCTGATTTTTAATAGGCTTGCCGATATGGACATGTTCAGCATCTGGAACATCTGCTCTTCTATGGGGCCGATATGAGTGCCCAGAATGCTTCAGGGAACACTGCGCTGCACATCTGTGCTCTGTATAACCAGGTGAGTGCTGGAGTTTGTCACCTGAGTCACAGGTTTATCTGCTGAGCTCTTTTTGTTAAGCAGTACTGGGATCCACTTCGGTGGCAAATTTTAATTTCCCTTTTGCACTTAATCAAAACAAATTTCCTCTGGAGTGTAATCTGTTAAGAAATAAAGGTGGTGTTTGAAAATGGACATTCTTGTGTCATTTCTCAACATTTTTTGTGTGTTTTCTGGTGGATTTTAGGAATTTTTTTTGGCATTGTTATGGATCCTTAGAATGATTTTTTCTGTAATGCTGGCATTGTAAAGGCTGTTTGCTTTTTCTTTGCACGTTCTTGGTTTCATGTGTGGGCTGTAGATTCCACTGCACCTGTGGGTGGTTGCATTTAATTAGGTAGTGTCAGATTATCTATGCATATATAGAGAAATATATTCTTTCAGTACATCCCCATTTACTGTACATAAAAGTCTGGTTTATTAATGAATTAACACACTGTTAAAGTGCACACTTTATGTGTAATTCTTATTAAACCTTTTTTTACATTTAGTCATTTATTATGTTCTTAGATGTACAGTATCAGTAGTAGAGGGCTACTAAAAAGTGGAAAACCCTTAAGAGTCCTGTAATCTTAATTTCTCTGTAAGGATGCCATCGATTGCTCTGGGATAAGTGATGGAATCTGTAATCACTTTCTGCTGAACTCCATGGTATCATACTGCACGTCTGAATAACGGAAAATTATTCACTTTACTGAGACTTACTTTAGAGTTAACACAGTTTCACCTACTTAAGCAAACAATGGTACACTAAGAAATATATATAAGAAATATATATTCATAAGAAATATATGAATATCTGAAGGACCTTTACACTGTTTTTTATAACATTCTTTTGATAAACATTATTAGTCTACATATGTATGCATATTATTATTATTATTATTATTATTATTATTATGATACTGGTGGCTGTCATCTGCAAAATAGGCACATACAGTATCTCATTAGCTTAAAAGCACAACCAGTCATCCTACAGGGATCCTATTTGAGAAGATTCTGGAAAATGAAGGATTAAAACATTTAATATATTTTCTGCTGAAACCTGTTACCTTTTGTTTTGCAAAGCTTAGTGTTATCCATACTCTGCGTCCTAATTGTTAATATTGTATTTTGGATGTACTGTCAAACCATTGAGTGTTACGTTTCTTGGCTCCATTATATAGCATAGGAAATCACGTGATATATTTCAGAGATTTCTTTTAGCTTTCTTAATAAAGCTCCTGACAAGTGCTCTTTTTTCACCATTGTTAATATATCTATACTCAGAATAAATTAATGACAAAACCTTTTATTGATCGGTTTTCCATTAAATCCTTTTAAACATTCAATTTTTTAGCTATTATTCTTAACTTAGTTAATGAGTGTTAGGAAATACAGTAGATGCTACAATTAAAGTTGAAGACTGTGTTGATTTCATAATTAACAGAGGCAGTTACAGTTATTTTGAATAACGATTATGGCTTTTATTTAATCTTACTGTACTTTGAACTCTTGTTAGCTCCAAAACTGACATGTTCTAACTGCCATATTACAGTAATTTCAAACTATTGTTAATGTTCTGGAAAAGTTTCACGTTTTATTTTTCAATGAACTTCTGTGAAATTATTGTAACATTTGTGAACAGTGAAACTGGAAACAAAAAGGGGAAAAAAAGATGGATTCCTACAACATAACATATGTTGTCTCAGACAGCAAAATATTACACTTTTGACTTTTTATCTCATTTTAAGTAAATAAAAGTACTATGGTCCCCCTCTTAGAATCTTGTGTGACTTACAGCTATTTTATCTTTAACCTATAAGAAAGTAAAAAAGGCAAAATAAATGTCACCCTCAACACATTATTGCAGGATAATTCTGGTATTTGTCTCCTAATTGCCTGGCAAGGATCCAGCAATATATGTTTTTTTTTAAGTAACAACATAAGATACAGTAGTAAAGCTAATTAAGGACAAGATTCACTTGGCAGGTTTATACAGTATGTGAGAGAATGTAAACAAAGCAAAATAAAGAAATGATTTTTAAATGTACACTGAATAGACCTACTGTATAGACAATTTTAAAAGTATGTTTGTATTACCATAGTGTATGTAACACACTAGCCCTGAGGAAAGTGAGGCAGAGGTCAGTGGTGTCATTAGAAATCATTACATACAGCATGGAATCTGTAGCTCGTTAGGCTTCTTTACTTGTGAATGTGTTGGTTCGTTAGTGTGGTGAGTAAAGCAGTCAGATTGTCTCTCTTTTCTGAGGTTTTAATGCCATTTTTTCTAGAGCTTCTTATGTTCACTGGAACTCAATCAACCTGACGTAAAGATGTCCAATCACGGGTAGCAATCATTTGTTGGCTGTAAAGAACATAACTGAATGAATTACATTTGACAGAATGTTCAGTGAATACTTTGCATGGCCTGTTTGAATAGAATACAGTAAAGTTTTCAATGTGGAGACAAAGACTTCTTAAGACCCCTTGTTTGTTTAGATTTAACTGCTTCTCAGTCTGAGCTGAATAAAATCCATTCTGACTGCTACTGTACTGTACTGTATGTGCACATAAAGTAATGAAGACGACAGCACAGAGAAATTGTGGAAGAAAAAAACGGGCCAGGTGCTGGGGTTGAATCAGACAAAAGTGACGTTTTACTGGTTGGTAAATGAATACTGGTTGGCATGGTGGCACAGTGGTGTACACAGAGCTGGGACCCTGGGTTCAATTCCTGTGGTGCTCTGTGTGTGTGGAGTTTGCATGCTCTCCCTTTGTTTGCACGGGTTTCCTCCAGGCACTCCGGTTTCCTCCCACGGTCCAAAGACATACAGTACTGGTAGGTTAATTGTCTTCTGGAAGAAATTAGCCCTGGTGTGAGTGTGTGTGTTCAATCCAAGGTGAACCCTGCCTTGCCTCCATTGCTTGCTGGGATAGACTCCAGGTCCTCTGCGACCCTGTTTTGGATATTGAGGTACATACTCTATACATACTAGCTTTGTTGTCAAACACTATTACTCATTTGATCACTCAGAAACACTTGAGGAAAAACAAAACAAGATAAAATGTTAAAATTTAAGCAATTACATGCCAGCACCCTTTAGGGGTGAAATTTAGGTGTCTTTCTTTAGAGCGATAATTTGAGAATAAATTACTTTTTGTGTGGTGCATTAAATCAACAAAATGAGAAACTGGCTATGGGGGGGAGTTCAGTATTTGCAGTAGAACTACCAGCCTGATGTGCTTATGAGCGTGTGTGAAGCTTTCGTGGGTGGGCTGATGAATCCAGAAATCAGAACTGGGATTGTGCTGCTAACATTACAGATCTACCTTCAGCTGCTGTTAAGATCTAGCAATTAGTCGTGGTTCTCTTTCAGTAAGTTCATTTCTATTCATGGTAGAAAGATGCATTGCGGCTAAGGAGGTTAAAAGGAGCACTCTTCGGTAAGGAAAAGAGGGGGGTATGGTTTGGGGGTGGGCAGACAAAAGCAGCCCAAGATAACATTAGTTAACAAGCCTTAAGTATTGTTTTTGTTTTGCAGGATAATTGTGCAAGAGTTCTTCTTGTCCGTGGAGCCAACAAGGAGATCAAGAACTACAACAGTCAAACCCCATTCCAGGTACAGTTCTTTCTGGTTTGAATCTGAGGAATTTTGAGTCGGAATGCAATTCGAATTTGTAATTAATTTAGCAGAGTGCCATTTTTGCAGTAATTGTGCCTGAGGGGATAAATGCTCACAGGCTGAAGATTGTTCATTGGTTGGAGATATGTAGTACTTTTAATGAGGCAATACATAGCAGTTTCATACCTTGTCATTTTTCTGTTCATGACGGTAAGACGGGAATCCCTGTTCTGAATGGATTTTATTCATTAAAACTTTGAAAGATAATATAGAGGAAATCTTCTGTAGCCGTGTTGAATTGTGCTTTTTATTAAAATATTATGATCAATGATGAGTTCCTATGTACTGATTTATTGCAATAAATCCTTTTAAGAGCTCTGACAGAAGTGAGAGTGAGTCACTTACAGTTGTTTAGATTTATATTCAACATATGTAAGCGAGCTGTTATCATTGTATTGATCACCATATGCAAAATGTTTAAAAGCTTGCTGATTATTCAAATAGTGTGTAATGCCATAATATACCACTTTTAACTAGAATGGATCTACAGAGAATGAGTCAGAGATATTAATCACAGATAAAGGTTATTGTGCCTTTTATATAAGGGAGTCCTTAATATTCGTTAGGAGTACAGTACTTCTGTGTTAAACCCAGCTTTGTTTTGACTGTTATTTACTGTAGATACACTGAGTTAAAGAATATCAAGTTGTCTGATTTGGAGTCTTTAAAAATGTGTATACTGTCAATTACAAAGCCATTTGGAACATTTTGAAAAAAAATCAGTCCTGGAATTAATAATCTACTTCATATGTAACTTTTTCTATTAACATATAATATGCTGCCTTTGGTATTTTAAGTTGTCCCTATTACTGAAAGGGATAGTAGGTTATTTTTTTCTTCCTTTTATTTTTTTAGTCTCTACTTTTCTGCTTTCTCACACAAGAAAAATTCCTTGAATAAATATTGGAGTACACAGTACTTATATAATACATAAGACAAAATCTTCCACCTTATGTTTACCGCAAGCTGCCATTAATGCACAACTGATTTATACTGTCCAAGCCATGTTATCCAGGCGCATCGGGCAATTTAATTTAATAAGGTATACAGGAGGAATTAATCTCTTTTATTAGAGTCAGATCTGTGGAAGTTCAATAGGCAACGTAATATGTTGACCTGAGAAACACACTAATAAAATTCAAAATGTTAAACAGCCTGATTTAAGCAGGTGGCCTGAACAGAAGCCAAACACCTTTAAATACCACTTATGAAGCTATTTATGTATGTGGGAAATGTTAAAGGTGGAACAACATGTATTTGCACACTGACATTATCTAAAATCTGAGCAGTCTTTAAATTGGCTTTGCATGAATTTAAAGAAAAACTCATTTTGCCTTATTTGTATTTTTTAATCCTTTGTTTATCAAAACACTGTCACTCTCCTAAGCATGGTTTTGTTTTACTTGCCAGTCCTGTGTTATTTGCTACAGTCAGGTTGTTAGTCTGGGGCTTATGGTCTTGTGCCATGCTTTTTTCAACAGTGATGAACCTTCTCCGGGCAGAAACTAGCCTTCTTATTATTGATCAAAGGTCTTTTTTAGATCAACGATCCCCCAGGGCAATACTGATGTCCATATGCTAGATTGTGACGTCTTAAACTTTCCCCTTAAAACACTGCAGCTACCTAAGCAGTTTTCAAACCGTGTTAAGGCGTTACAGCCCTGGGCTCTTCTTCACACAAGCTCCAAGCTCCTGTGCAAATCAGTCCATCACTGCTCTTTGTTCCAGAAAGAAGCTCCTCTTCATTCTCTAGCCTAAAACGAAGGTTTTAGCACAGCCAGTTTAACCGTTTTACTTGCTGGTTGGTGTTTGTATTCCCCTAAGCTAATACTTACAAGACAGGGTGAAATCACACACTTCAACTTCATGCTTCATCCAACTGGTTAACATCTAGTGTAGTCAAATGGGAAGCCAGCCTCAGTACTCACTACACATCTGTTGTATATAAACATCTTTGCCTTTCTCTTTTGTGTACTTATATTTATTGTGTTGTAAAAAAACATTGCTTACTGCTATTTTTCATTTACACACTTCATTTTGTGAGCCACAAATGAGCATCTGGTCATCACTGTCAATTTGCTATTCATTTCTTCTTTATTCTAACATGTAGGAGGTATGGTTATGTAATGTATATTTGAGGATTACATCCAGTTTACTGATGCATTTTCTGATGGTTTTCATTATTTATCATGTGATACTGAAAAATAAAGGTGGTGCTGTCTCACTTCACTAATTAAAAGCTCTCTTGTGTTGAAGAAACACGCACAAAAAAGCATAACCATGTTTTCTATAAAATCCCTCAAGTTGAAATGCGAAATATCTCTTTTCATACTGTGTCTCTCTGAGGGAGGTTCAGAAAATCTTGATTTGACATAGTGCAAACTTGAAACACTTCTGCTCATTTTGGTCTTGATAAGTCAGTTTTCAGGACGAAATACATTTGCTCACCCTTAAACGTTCAATTCACTTGTGAATTCCAATGCAAAGTGGCTAAACACCTGAACTCTTTAGCTCAGATTGGAGTCAAAGTGAAAGATACACTTCAAGTGCTAGATATATTTAATTTCCCTTCTGCTTCTGCATTGCCCAGTTGCTAATGCCCTGATATTTCTTTATTTGCATCTGAAACATGCCTACTCTGAGCCTCCATCAGAAATAACACCACTTCAGGTCTCTCTAAAAATTAAAAAAATAAGTTTTACTGTACAGGGAAATAAGATCTACTGAAACATACAGTTTATCTCATTTACAACAGGTTTCTAGGAGGCAGTGGCCACCCACACGTAACTCCAGTGTGTCATTTCACACTTTCCCGTAAGATAAGACAACATTACACCTTGCACATAAATTCACTTATCTCCTCTTTTAGAATGCCGTTCTTATGGGTATTAATTATTAAAGCTTTGAAAAGATATAATGTACTTGATCCAGTACTGTTTCATACTTTTCTTTTCAAAAATAATTACTTTTGGTTTGGAATCCTGGGTTATATTCCTTATCCCTTCACTCTCTTGTTCTCTATGACTGTTGAGTATAATGATTTAAGCAAAACTTTCTGTCCTTTGAGGGTTTTATCAAAGGAAACCCTAAAAGTAGTGCCAACAGTAGGAATACAGAACTCTGTTAAGTGTTTAATGAATCTACTTAAATGATAGGAACTCCCACATTAAAAATTGGAAATATCATTAATATGATGTGCACAGTACACATAAAAAATGTTCTTTGTTACCAGCTCCTGTATATACTATTATTTAAGAATCTTCAGATTTTCTTATTGATAATACAGTGGATTTACTGTATATCTTTGTTTTGGGATGTGGACATCATATTGCCTGGGATCCAATTTTGTACAGTATATATTCTCTGTATTTTGTATAGCATGATTAAAAAATCAAGTTATGACCTGAAGTACATTATTTTCAAATATGGAACTAAAATAGGTGGAAGGGTTAAGAGCTAGGTTCATTTGCCAAGTCTTGATTTTAATAATGAAGTGATGGATGGTTAGCACAGATGTTTCAGTTATTTCTGAGGGTAGTGTTTTATTGTCTAGAATTTTAACAACTGGGAAATCTAGCAGTTTATATAAGAACAGTAAAAAGTATCACTCAGTCTGTCAAATCCCACCCTGTTGCACATAATCAATTGATCCAAAGACTTCATGTAGCCGGTTCTTTCTAGAGCTTAGTGACTCATCAGTTACAAAATGACCTTGTATCTTGTTCCCAACACCCACCACATTTTTTTTAAATAAAATATTTTTCAGTAATATTGTTGAGCTCAATAGCTTTTCTCCAGCTCTGGCCTCTACACCATATCTAAAATAATGATTTGGGTAGTCCATTCAGGATCTTTAAGATTGTACTGAAAGCCCTAATGTCTTCACCATTAATTCATTCAGTTAATATTACAACATAAATCACTTGCTCTCTTGAATCCGAAAAGTCGTTGTGTTCGTTTTTGGGTGGACTTATCAGTGCTGACCTATACATTAAAAACTTCTAAGAAGCATTTTGTAAAAACTCTAGACAAAACTACACGCAAACGTGTATTTTTAGACAAATCTACTGTATGTATCCATGAGATGGCATTTAAACATGAGCATCAAACAAGAAATCATAATTTATTAAAGAGAACCTCATTCCTCTTGTGCAATATATTAAAAACGATGAATTATTGAAGCATTTCTTTTCAATCTCTTTCTACTGTACTTTCATCTTTAAATATGAATAGTCAATAATATCTAAAGACTTTTTTATCTACTTAACCCTACTGTATGCATGGCAGTTTTATGTACTGTAATTTATTTGTCAAGAGTCAATGCTTAGGATTTCTTGATCACAGGCAGATGTTTTTCTTTACAGGAGTTTGTCTTAATTTGGAACCTTTGTTTATATACTTACAGATATTAACAACACAACCAAGTACAGTAGTACTGAAAACATCCCACATAACTTTTACATCTCATTGTCCTTAACTTATCATAAAGGTTTGTGTAGACTAATAGTTCACTAATAGCTTAGTGAATTAAAATAAATCAATGCCTGTATGTATTGTTTGCCATGCAGTAGTTTGTCGAGGCACACTTTGAATAAAAGGATTTAGTTTAATAGACTGTTCACAGAGTGAGGAAACAGAGTTTATAAGTGAGTCATTATTTATAGTTGTGAAAATTATTGGATCTAAAACTTTTCTAATGGACTTACATCTAAATATTACATTTGAAAATAAGGCAGCATTTTTAAATAGTGGTGTGACACAGTGCTGTATTTGAACAGATGACTGTTGACAGTAATCTAGTGTCTTCCTGTTGAATATTTACAGTATGTATAGGGCGGAAGCTACACTTTCTACACAGATCAGCAACTTGAATTGAGCAGTGAACTTAATTCCACTCCAGCTATGACAGACAGACAAGCATTTTCAAAAAGGTTAGA